CGCAAGAGCATTCACATTCACATTTACGATTGACGGACGCATCTATTGCGGTGCGGTGCGGTGCCGTGCGGCTTTGGAACGTCCGTGCCTCTTGGCTGCCTGTCAACGTAGCGTATTCCCTGACTGCACCGAAGGAAATGCGCAGTGATCCCCGCGCTACTCTGTCCCCCCGCGCGGCCCTTGCAGGTGCTGAAGAGAGCGAGCGGGGGCCTTATAGTGACGATCTGCGACTTGCGAGGCGAGGGCGTTCGTTCAATCCATGAACGGGCGCTTTAGCGTCCCTCCTCAGCCTCGCTCGCTCGCTCTCTCTCCTAGCTGCCAAACACCTTGCTTTCACGGACTCTCGATCGTGGAAAGCGGAGTTTAGATCGGCAGCTAACTAACTGCATGACCGCCCTCCTCTCCTCTCCTCTCCTCTCCTCTCCTCTCCTCTCCTCTCCTCTCCTCTCCTCTCCTCTCCTCTCCTCTCGGCCCTCTCGGCGCTTGGTACCGTCGTACACATACATACAGTACTGTACAGCACATGGCCCCCTTGGCTGGAACGCTTCTGCTGCGATTGCGCAAACTTTTTCGTCGAACAAAAAAAAGGTGCACAGTCTGTCTGACTGACTGACTGTTCATGCCATGCCATGCTTTGTGCGTCATTGGCAGCAGCAGCTATAGCAAGCAAGCAAGCAGCCTTCTCTTCGGCAAAAGCAGCAAGTCCTTATTTCCGCTTGCGCTTAATTGCGACAAGGACGGAGAGATACGGAAAGGCTCCCCTCCCCCCCCCCCCTTCTTTCCCCACACCGACCGAATCGTGAATGTGATGGCGTTTCCCGGGGCGCTGGAAGAGGTTTACCTATACAGTCGTGAGTCGTGAGTCGTGAGCAACCTACCTACACGTCCACGTCAAAGCGTGAGCGCGCGCGCGCGCGCGCGTGAGAGTCACCCAGCATGAGTCAGTCGCGACGAGTCGCGCGTCGTGGCCTGCCGATGGATGGCATGCAGATGATGATGAATGGTGAATGTGTTGCGCGACGCGTATACAGAAGCATCAAGCGTGGGGCTCCGCGATCGATGACGGCAGGCAGGCACTTGCAGCGCGGACGGACTCACACTCACACTCTGACTCTGACTCGAACTCGGCTGGACTGAACGATGACTTGGCGCGGAACAAGCACGTACAGGCACGATCCAGCCAGCCAGCCAGCCTCCTACTTCTTCCACACCTCCCGAACAACACCTGCAGCTATATACAGTACAGTGAGTCACAACGCGCGGGCGCGCGCGCGCACCCTGCATGCTGCCCTGCCCTGCCCTGCCCTGCCCTGCCCCTGCCGGCCCCTTTCACGATTGCAGCAAATTTCAAGAAGTGGCTGAAACATTCACGATTGGCGCGATCGACCCCAGAAGAGCTGCATGCTGTCGCGGGAACCTGGGGGCAGCAGGCAATCTGCAGGTCGGTGATGCACGAACTCGCCATGCACCTTGCCTTGCCTTGCCTTGCCTTGCCTGCAGGGCTGGAAGTCGGCTCCCAGCATGATGATTGATTCACATTGATGACTTTTGACGCTGTCTGTCTGTCTACCAATCAGGCGATGCTGCTGCTGCTGCTGCTGCTGCTGCTGCTGCTGCTGCTGCTGCTGTAGAGGCGCTGTTGTTGCATGCAGCAGCAGCAGCAAAATACGGGGAAGGTGACATGAGGTGCATGCGCGGGTAAGTAAGCAAACGGCAACACGCGGCCCCGCAAGCACACAATCATCAGCCTGCCTAGCCTTCTGAAGAGCCTTGCTGCTGCTGCTGCTGCTGCTGCTGTTATATGCGCGCACAAGGGCTGCAGCCCTGATCGATCGATCGATGATGCTCGTGATTCTTGATGGACAGACACAGACGCCCCTACAGCATCGTGCATCAGCAGCAGCAGCAGCAGCGGGCGAGTCGAGTCGAGTCTAGTCTAACAGAAGCAGATGAGAGATGAGAGAACAGGGCTTGGCTGCCCTCGCACTCGCAATGGAGGTGCGCTGCGCTGCGCTATAGCGCGTTCTCCTCGGGCCTACCATGCATGCATGAAGGTGTAGAGCGTGATTGAGGCTTTTGGTCTTCTAGCTCGTCGTCATTCAGATTGGTCCAAACCCAGAAAATACACCCAGCCAGATCCGAGAAGATGCGTCACAGATGATGTGTGTGTGGTGGGTGGGTGGGTGGGTGGGTGAGTGTGCGCGCGCGTGTTTGTGCGCCTATTGTGAGCGTTCGTGAAAGTGGTTTGCGTGTGCGTGTGCGTGTGCGTGTAGGTGTAGGTGTAGGTGTGCGGTGAAGCAATCGCAATCTCTCCTCGACGACGACGACGACGACGAGGAAGACGACCATCCTGGAATCGGGCATTCCAAACAAACGAGACGATCGACATCTAACACGGCGGCCTGAGGCCCCGTCTAGACCTGCGCGACACCCGCTTCCGTGGGTCGCATTGACGTGTGCGCGCAGAAGCTTCCGCTTCGGATGCACTTCATTCGCGACGAGGATTCGTCGAGCGCGTAGGGCACCGACGTCTTGTGGGGGGGGGGGCCAGCCAACCCCGACAAGATCAGGCTTGCCAAGTTTCGACTTCCATCTTCATCTGGTCCTCTTCCATCTACGCACATCCTACTACTTGGGGATTCGTCTACGCGAAAATCTACAAAGTCTGGGCGATCGTCTCGACGTTTTCCCTACCAAGCTGCAACGGTCGCCAACGGTCGAGGTGCATACATTGCGCTATCACCTGCGCTCGCTCCGCGACTCAAAAACACAAAGGCGGCACAACGGCTCGCAACGGCTTGTAGAACGGGTGAGTGCAGTAGAGTTGAGTGCTTGCTCGTGGGAATGGCAGGCACACTCAGCGACGCGGACGCGGGCAGGGGGGAATTTCTATGCGCGCTGATGGGGAGACATTACCGTGATGAGAGGGGAAAATCCATCTGAACTGCCATTCGTGAATGGAGCACTCGCCAACAATCGAGCTGACCACCATCATATCCACTCCCAACCCGTCCTTCATTTCAATCTTTTCCCCCCCCCCCGCCCCTTTACTTACGCTCGGCTGGCCGACACTCTAATCATTGCGCTCTTTGAAATCATCTCTCCACACTCTTTTCCTGGTCTCGCTTCCACGGACCACTAGTGGCTTTTCATAGCTGCCGCTCCGAGGCCTGGCGCCGCTTCCTAGACCCGACTACACGATCAAGCTTGGCCGGCTGCTCTGAACTCAGCCTCGCCCTCGATCGAAAGCCATCTTCGGCCTTCTTCCTTCCCTACACCGCTACCAACTCTAGCGACGAGCTCCATGTCGGACGCACAGACCTTTCCAGATTTCGACAACAATTTCGACGACCAATGGCATAGGGCTGGCTTAGACCCATCAGCTGATCTGGGTATCGGTCTGTCCGACTTGACTCCGGGTTGTCTAGTTACGCCAAATCTGCCGTCCAACGCATCCGCCTTTACTGAGGGTCTAGGCCTCTGTCTGGGAGGCTTGGACGGCAGGGCAGGCCGCGAGCCGTATCGAACTCCAAGCTTCAGCAACGTTCAGCGACTTCTCCAGTTGTCTTGTACGCCAATCAACCAAGGTGAGTTGCGCCAATGCCCCTCGCGATGTCCAGCATAGCCTCTGACGACGTATGCTTCGTCGTTGCCTTTGCAGCACAAGCACTCGTGCAAAGCGTCTGCGATAGCAGCCCTCTGCGCATTCAGGTTCCGCCATCTGGATCGATGGCATCGTTGGAGTTGACTCCGCCCTTGAGCACGTCAGGTCTGCAGCACTCTTCTCCTTCCACGATCGGGTCAGGCTCACTGCCTGGCTCGACCCACTTCCTGACAATGTCGCTGTCCGACGACGTGCCCGTTCCTGGCTACCAAGAAAAGTCAGAGGATTGGGAGGTCGCTCTGAGCGCAGAGCAGGTGGAGCGCCACGCTCCAAATCCAGTCGCAGCTGGACAAGGCTCCATGCCCGGAAATGTCGCGGCGGCGGCGGCCCACATGGCGCAGATGCCTTCCGTCCTCGCGCCGGCTCCTGCTGCGCCTGCCACATACGTCCAACACGACGGCACGTCCCAACTCGTGGGAACTCCGGAATGGTTGCTGGAAGGCGGCGTGCCCTCTTCGCGCCGGGGTCGATCTCAGACCGAGACTACAGCTCGTCCCATGCACCAGCTAGAGCACCCGTACACGGCCTTCAACGCCGGACCGAGCAGCTCTGCCGTGCAGCAACGTGCACTGTCCCATGACGGAACGGCGATTGACGCCCGCGCAAGTCGTTTCGGCAGCACGCAACCGCATGGCTACTACCATGTCGACGCACACTCACAAGCAGTACCTTTTAGTGCGCCGGCCCACCAAGCCAATTTTGAGCAACTCCCATCTTGGCCTCAACAAGAGCTGTACGAGCGCAGCTTCTCCGCTTCCGTGGATCCCACGATCCAAGCAAATGCTGCCCAATACGCTCCAGGACTTGCAGGCAGGATTGGTAGCCAGAGCTTTCAGAGCTCTCGAGGAAGCAGCGGCCCTTCGGGCATCCCTGACGGATACGTCGCCAACTTTGTCCCGCACAGCGCTCCTCAACAGGGCTCGCCTCCGCTCGTCAAGAGTTTGTCGCTGCCCAATGTCGGCGGTGCGATGGTCTCGCATGGCGCAGGGAGCATGAGTCCGTCGGTGGGCCCCGCTCCTTCCGCAGAGTACGCCTTGGCAGAGCAGCAGCAGGCAGACTACTTGCAGGCAATGCGCATGCAGACTGGAGCGTATAGACAGCCACAGACGCAAGCGTACCTGCCAGCAAGTCGACAGCAAGCTGGAGCGGCTTTCGCGCAGGGCTCTCAACCTGCAGCGATGCCGCACCACCACGGTAACCAGCACGGCCCTGCTTCGATGGCATACTACGCAGCAACGAGCAATGCGATGCCGGCGTACGCCAGAGCTGCGCCCGTGGTGCACCACCACCACCACCATCAGCATATGCCTCATGCTGAAGGCTATGGACAGTACAGCAGCGACATGGTCCCGAGCGGATCGACGACGTACACGTCTCAAGCTCCCAGTCCGCCATTTGTCAACGTCGACGGCAGCGGTCACCACGCGCCCACCGGTCGTACCCTCATGGCGTGCGGCCACTGCAAGCGGCGCAAGCTAAAGTGCGACGGTGGCTCCCCTTGCTCGTCTTGTCGCGCAAAGAACCAGGTGTGCGAGTATCCAAAGGATATCAAGCGACGAGGCAAGGCCAAAAAGACGCTGCTGCGCGAGGCTGAGGAGGCTGCTGCAAAGTTGCGGGCTGAACAAGCCATCGCTATGGGTTACCATTCATCCCTCGGCTCCGCCAATGGATTGTACGAGAACCTCTCGTCGTACAGGCAGCTCTCTCCATCCTCCAGCGGATCCAAGCGATCCAGAGAGGAGGACGAGTCGGAGTGGGACGCAAGCTTGAGCGGTCAGCACGAGCAGCAGGCGTCAAACGACACTGGGGCGTATGCCAATCGTGCCAGTAGCACGAGTCTTGCTTCGCGCAAGAAGCAGCGTACGCAGGACAACATCATTCCTCGATGAAGCGTCGCCTTAATTGATGCTCGAGCTCTGCTGCAGGCACTGCACGTATAGCTGCCAGAACGCGCCACGTAGCAACGCCCCCACCTCTTCTGTGGTCCCATGCGCCCGACTCCTTAACGGACGCTAAACTTTCCTCGGCTTGGTCCTGACGTGGCGGTGTCTTGCGTAACTTGAACGTTTGCACTGGCGCCATATCTTCTTACACGCACGTGCCTGTTTATCAATGTACCAATCGCAAGCTTTCGATGTGAAAAAGCAATGTTATCCATCCATCCATCCATCCATTCATTCCCTTGTGCTGTTTGAGAGCGCGGTCGGAGATGTCTGTGGTGATGAGCGATGTAGCAAGCATGGCTGAAGGTGTTGCCGAGTGCGCCTTCCGACACGGTCGGCTTGGTATTCTCTCCAAGATGACAGAGGAGAGTGTTGGATGGCGCCTGCTGCTGCGAGCAAGTTTCTATCTGATTGACTACTTGCTGCTCTCTTGTCTCGCGCCGCCCTTTTGACTTGTTGACATCGTGATCGGCGATCAACAAACAGCTGCGAGTCGTTGGCCATCCGCTCTTTTGCGATGATCGTGGCTAGAAGGGAGAGGAGCTTGTGTCTGTGACGATCGTCTGCGCTGTGAGAAATACACTACACTCGCAAAGGGCCGACCGGGCGAGGGAGGCGCGAGGGATGCTTGTGTCATTATGGCTTCCTGGCTTGCAGACTTTTTCGTGAGAATGCCAGGCGACTGAAAGCGGATCGCATGTCATCTGCCCGCAACAGCCGGAGTGGGACGTGTCGTGCACATACTCCGAACCTCCTTCCATCGAGCGGATGGGCTTGACAAACTTTGGGACAAGGAAAAGTTTCAACTCAGCAAACAAAGACTCCTCGAGTACCACGGAGCTTGGTTGCACTCATCCCCTTGCGATCCTCTTCCCCCCCCCCCACACACATCCATCTCGAGGGAGCAAAATAGCCAGATCTGGCATCAAGCTTGGCATTAGCGTGTGAGGATGCGAATCTGACAGGCAGTATGATTCACAATGTTTGCATGTACAGGCAGGCGTCACTGGGCTGGCTGCTCGACTCTGCGCTGCGCACCCGTGACTGCTGCTCTGGCCGCCACGGTGCTCTTTGCAGGGCTGCATCGGAAGAACGCTTCGGTGATGCGTACGAGGCACGGCGGGGGCTAGGGGGGCATGAGATGTGCAGCTAGAATGAGGTCCGAGATTCACCATCAAGTCTCGGCGGCGCTTTGGCAGCAGCAGCAGCAGCAGCAGCAGCAGGCGCGTGGGCCCTACTGTTCGGTTCTTTGCCGGCTCCCAATCCTCCCCCATTTGCGCAAATCTCAAGAGGGTCCCGTCTGGTCCCACCATTCTTTTGCGAACTTTGAAATAGCTCGCCAGAGCTGGCCCCCCCCCCCCCCCCC